TAGAGGCAGAATGATAAGAATATTGGGTGTGTAGATAGATGGAGGCTAGCCTGGGCTACATGAGACCCTATCTTAAGCAACAACAGCAAAAACGAAACAACAACAAAAAAAACCCTTAACCTCAAACAAATAAAAAACACCCTCAACAACAATACACCTCAATAAAGAGGTTATAGTATATAATCTTAACATTGCATATGCTAACTTTATTATAAAGCTTTTAAAAAACTCTTTGAGATAGGGTGTCAGTATGTAGTACAGGCTACCTCTGAACTCAGTCATCTTGCTGCAATTCCACAGTACTAGGACTGTGAGTACTTTATATGGGAAGAATAAGGGAGAGAGGGAGGAGGTGACTCCCTGGCACTTGCTGCAGTTAAAGGTCTGTGCACTACACTCCAGAGTCTCAGGTGTCTGCTTGGAGATGCTGAGCCTGCAGATTCTACATGGCTCTGTGCTGCTTCAAGAACTTCTGTGATAGGAAGGAAGAAAAAGTTTCCTGTGGGGACAGCCTGGTGGATTGTGGAGGAAGTTTGCAACCCTTGTGATTTTTTTTTTCCTCAGTGTTTTGCTGTGGCCCCTTCTGGCAGCTAACATTAGTCTTAAAAAGGACTTACCATCATGTAGGATGCTTTTCTTCTTCTCTTAATTTATCCTGTGTCTTTAATAAATTCTATAATCTATAAAAAACAGCTTTCTAAAAGTCTCAGATTTTCTCATTTAAAGGTCTCTGTTTTAGAGGGTTATTTTGAGACTGTAAAGGACTTAAAGGCAGTAAGCTTTCAATAAGTGTTAGCTGTCTTTGTCATTGCCACAGCCTGTGGTCCTGGTGTCCAGTGTACCTCAGCAGCTCTGAGCTAGCCAGGCTGAGGGATGAGCATTTGAATAGCTACTTTTTCTGGATGTCTTTGAGACCTTTCTAGACAAGGTTCTAGATGCCAGGACTTTGCCAGTTTGGCTCTCAGAGGAAGCAAAGTAGAGGGAGCTTGGTTTAGACCTGCACTATAGTCAGAGATTATTAATGTTCCTTGCAAAATGGAACTCTGCAGAAGTTGTTGAGAACTTTTTCTCACTTGTTTTATCTAGAAATTCTTAACATTTATGGTATATGGTCTGACTTCTGTTTATTACCTAGAAATACTGAATTTTGAGGGTAGGCTGCTGAGAACTTGACTTTGTAGAAGATCTGAACGGATGTGGGTTCTGTCCTACTTATGTTTTGGATAATTTCATTAGTTAATTGTTCTCTTCACTGTAATCCTTGTGCTGGACATGGGCAGTTTAAGGCAGGAACAATTTACTTTGCTTATAATTTCAGAGGGCTCAGTCTGTCATGGTGTGGGAGCCGCCTAGCCTTCTTCGAGGTAGGTGGAGAAACAGCTGGGGAAAGGTACCTTGAGGACACACCAAGTAGCCTACTTCCTCTAAAGTTTCTAGAATCTCCCCAAATAGGACCACTACTTGGGGACCAAATGTTCATATCAGGAACCCATGGTAAACAATAAAAGATTTCATAAAATTGTGCCCATGGTTCCCAAAGGCTCATTGCTATCTCATGAGTACAGTGCATTTGGTTAGCATCTAAGAGTGCTTTCAATCTTGACCCTTCCAGTATTATTCCAGAGTCCAAATTCACAGTCTCTTCTGATACTCTGGTCAAACTCAGCTGGAATCTCTGCAAAATCAAAAAGAAGTCATATGCCCCTTGAAATAGCTACATTGGTTTCTGGTGACCGAGATCAGGGTGGCCGAACCTAGAAAAACACTTCCCTAGGGTGCTTTATTAAAAAAACATTTTTTTAAAAAAATTTTTTAAACTTTATTTTATGTGTGTTGGTGTTTTTTCTACATGTGTAGCTGTCTACATGCATGTGTCACATGCGTGCCTGGTGCCCTTGGAAGCCAGAAGAGTATGTCAGATCCCCTGAGTTACTGATGGTGGCGTGTGAGCAGGCATGCGGATGCTGGGAATTGAACCCAGGTCCTCTGGAAGAGGCCAGTACTCTTACCTACTGAGTCATCTCATCTCTCCAGCCCTTCTTAGGCTGTCTTGTATAAGCAGAGTCCCAGCAGTTCCATCTTCTTTAGGGAAAATCTTTCAGATGAGGTTTTACATCAACACGGGGGACTTAGAGCAGACGTTCCTCTAATTCCTGAAGTGGCCTCAAGGCATTTATGCTCTTGGTTTCTTTTAATCGTCCATATTTCTTTAACTACTGTACTGACTTGGGATAAAGCTCAGTGGTAGAGTGCTTACTTAGCAAGTAAGAGGCCTTTTATTTAACCCTAGTGTGAGTCTGTCCTCATCCTCACCTACCCACCATCTACTAAGGACTGGAGTATGACTGTATCGTAGAGTTCTTGCCTGGACCCTGGTTTCATCCCCAGTGGAATTGGCAGAGAAAAACAAAGCCAGCTGTGTTCTCTCTCTCTCTCTCTCTCTCTCTCTCTCTCTCTCTCTCTCTCTCTCTCTCA